CCACGGCGATGCTCATGGGCGTGCGTCCCGCCCTGCGTCTACCTGTGGAGATCGCCGTCGCGCCGCGCCCGCGGAAGCGCGCGCGTCGCGTTGCAGTGCGGCTTCGGCGAATGTCTCGGCGACGTCCCCGGCCGCGCGCGGTGTGTCGGTGCTACCGGACGCGGGTGGGCGACGAGCAGGGCGTCGCTGAGATCACCAGAGTACCCCCCCGCCCGGTTGTCGACGGAGGGGAGCTGCCAATTGTGCAATTCACGGGGGGCGTCTCTATCGCCTGAGCCCCTGCTCTCCCGCCCGCCTGAAATTCCTCAACTTGGGGAGCCACTTGAATGGCTGGGTGTCACCCGCCAGTGCCAACCTAAGGCAACGCTACGTCGGGTGTTGACATCTTCAGCCGCGGTCCGTTCCACGAATAATATCTCCCCTTCAACCTCGAACATTCGCGCACCACGACGGTTGACGGGAAGCACGAATTTTGTGGCCGCGCGCGCCGCAGGCTCGCAGCCGCCGCGCGAGAGCGCCAGCCCGAGGATCGTGTGCCTGGCCCAGGGCGGCGCGCTGCTCTTTCCCAATGGCCACGGATCTAAGGTACTAGCCCGCGAGCCGCGGGTAGGGCGTCGGCTTGACCGGCCGCGGCGGCGGCTTGTAGCCCGGCGGGAAGAGGCCCGGCAGCACGGCGGGGATATCGTGGAGCGACGCGACGTGGTAGTCGGCCTCGGCGCAGGCGATGCGGTCGCCCGTGTCGCGCGCCGTCAGCCCGACGAGCACCGTCGTCCACCCGAGCTCCTTCGCCATGCGGATGTTCTTCACGGAGTCGTCGAAGAGCACGCACTCGGCGTGGTCCGCCGTGCCCGCGGCGACCATGGCGCAGTCGAAGGCCTGCCAGGAGTGCTTCGTCTCGAGCCGGCACGTCCGCGTGTCGACGACGTTGTAGAACGCGTCCAAGGGAATGCCGATCTTCTTGAGGCACCGCTCCGCGTGCTCCGCGACGGACGCCGTGAAGACGTAGCGGTGCCGCTGCTCGCCGCAGTGCTCGACGATGTCGCGGAGCGCGTCGTCGCGCTCGACGTCGTCGTAGTCGATGTCGTGCACCGTCTCCAAAAACTCGTCGATCATGTCCCGCGGCATGAGGCACTCGACGAGCAAGCCCTTCAGGCAGGTGCCGTGGGCCTTGTAGAGCTCGTAGGCGCGGCGCTTGTCGACGCCGAGCTCGTCGCTGCAGTAGGCGGCGATCTTCGCCGTGATCTTGTCCGCCGTCTTCCAGCCGTTCTGGTAGAGGCAGTCGTCGCAGTCGAAGAAGAGGTACTTCATCGTCGGCATGGCGCGCGGCGGCGCGAGGGCGGCACTCGTCAGCAGCACCGCCAAGCGGGCGACCAAGCGGGTGAGAGCGCCGCGCGCCGTCGTCGGTGTCGGTGGCGGAGGACTGCGCGCAGTCGGTCGGTGTCGGTGGCGGAGGACTGCCGCAGAGCCGCTCGCCGCGCCGGAGGCTCGCGGCGCCGGCGCGCCGCGCCGCGCGACCGTCTCCGCCCGCCCCCCCGCAAAGACGGCCGGTGTGTGTGGCGTAGATATACGCCGGGTACACAGCGACCCGCGCGCGGGGGCGGGGATCGGCTGGCGGTCGATAAATTGAGAAGAACGCGGGCGCGTTGTTGTTTTTTGTGTTTTTTTTTTTCGCGGTCGCGGTCGCCGGCGACGCCGCTCCTTGGCGAGCGGCCGCCGGCCCGCCGCCTGCTTAGAACTGGTTGACCGTGATCTTGACGGTGAACTTCTCGTTCTCCTCCGGGAGGTTCATGACCATGTAGCCGACCTTCTCGCCGACCTGGCCGTCGGCCTTGACGACGATGTCGACGTCCGTGGGCGCGCCGCCGCGGCGGTCCATGCGGCCCTCCGTGGGCTCGGCGGAGAACATGCCCGGCGCCGACTCGGGCGCGAAGCCGACGTAGAAGTCCTCGTAGGCCATGCAGACGGGCTTGATGGACACGGTCCGGGCCTGGAGCTCGGTCGTGCCCGCGGGGATGTCCATCTTGATCTCCTCCGTGAAGCGGCCCATCTTCGCGAGCGTGTCGAGCGTGAAGTCGGCGCCGGCGTCCGCGGCCGACGCGGACTGGTAGCCGCCGATCGTCGTGGGGTCGACGTCGAGCGCGCCCGCGACGCCGGGGTCGCCGCCCTGGTTCATGCCCTGGAGCTTGTCGAGGCCCGTGGAGCCCATGATGCCGTCCTGGAAGCCGATGTCCGTGTTGCGCGAATCGCCGTCCTCGTAGAAGAAGTCGGGCGTGTCCGTGGCCTCCATGCCGCCCTGCTCGGGCTTCCAGTCGCTGCCGACGTCCGTGCGGATGTCGGGGGACGACCGCAGGACACCGGGCGACCGGGGCGTCGCCGCGCCCTGGAACGCCGCCGCGGGCGCCGCGAGGCAGAGGGCCAAGGAGACGCGCATCGTGCAGGCCAGATCGGGCTGACGAGGGGCAACACGAGGCAACCTTTCCCAAAGACTGCACCTTCCTGGAGTTGAAGCCCTTCCACCACAAGCTGCCGTGAATAACAACCCAAGCAAACCCGTGTTCAAAACCCCTTAAGGTCGCGGCTGCCCGCATTCGCGAGTCCCCTTCGCGCCCGCGCAGCCCGCCCCGCGGCCCCCATGGTCGCCGACGACCCGGTGGCGCGGCCGGCGCCGGAGAAACTCGCCGCCGTCGTCGAGGTCCACGAGGTGACGCCCGACGGCCCCTGCCGCGCCCTGGACCTCGTCGGCGGCGCGCCGCCGAGCGCCGAGCAGGGCGACGTGACGCCCCCGCACCGCGGGCCGGGCCTCGCGGGCCGGGCCTTCCTCAAGCGCAGCCCGAGCCGCGAGCTCCGGGGGCTGCCGGACCTCGAGCCCGCCGCGGACGCGCCGCGGAAGCCGCCGCCGGTGAAGTCGCCGCCGCGGCCCGCGCGCGCGCTCGGGGCCGCGCCGCCCCTGCGCTGCCGCCAGCTCGGCATCGACGTGAGCCTCCAGGCCCGCGAGGCGAGCGAGCCGACGACGCCCGGCGACCTCCGGAGCCTCGCGAAGTTCTGGGAATACGACATGGTCACCGACAAGGAGCGGTCGTCGCTCGCGTCGCTCGCGGCCGTGTCGTCCCAGGCCACGCGCGGCACCGTGCCCCAGCGCATCAAGACCCTCGCGAGCCTCCGCGAGTCCGGCAAGCTCAGCGAGGTCCCCACGTCCCCGCGTCCCTTCGAAACCCGTTTCCCCGGAACCCGTCGAACCCCGTAGGCGTCGACGCGGCGGCTCCGGGCCGCCGTGCGCGTCGTCTGCGGCGAGTCGCCGGCGCGGGGCGCGTCTCGGCACGGCGACGACGTCGCCGTGGGCCTCGCCGCGGGCCTCGACGACGGCACCGTCGACGGCGACGAGCTGTCGTTCCTGCTCCGGTCCGCGGGCTACGGCGCCGCGCGCGCGCCCGCGGACGCGAAGCGCGTCCTCGCGGGCATGCGCGCGCGCCTCGACCTCGCCAACGACGCCGTCGCCGGCGACAAGCTCCTGCGGCTCCACCGCGTGCTCAACTACGCCGCGGGCGCGTCGACGATCGGCCGCGGGGCCGCGCGCCGCGGCGGGCCGCCCGCGCGCGCGGACGCGCCGCTCCCGCCGCGGCGCTTCGCCGCCGCGATGGGGCCCGGCGCGACGCGCGAGGCCGTCGTCGACGAGTACGCCGCGGCGACGGCGGATCGGCTCGGCCACGCGCTGACGCGCGCGCCGGCGCGGGACGCGGGCGATGCGACGTCGCTTCGACGCGAGCGCTCCGCGCGCGCGCGTTCCGGAAAACGCATCCAAAACGGTTCCGAGAGATGATCGCGCGTCCAAAGATCAGCCGAAACGAGTGGAACGCGGCCGAGAGAGGCGCCTGTGGGAAGATCGCGCGCTCGTCCCGCAGGTGCGCGCGGCTCTGGTGCGTGAGCGACCTCCATTTGGACTGCCCGGGCAACGAGGGCTGGCTCGGCACGCTCGAGCCGCGGCCCGACGACGCCCTCATCGTCGCGGGCGACGCGGCCGTGCGCCTCGACGCGCTCCGCGCGGCCCTCGAGACGCTCGCGCGGCTCTACAAGCACGTCGTCTTCGTGCCGGGCAACCACGAGCTCTGGCTCACGAACGCGTCCGGGTCCCTCGACACGGCGGCCCACGCCGACTCCGTCGCCAAGTTCTTCGCGATCCTCGAGCTCTGCGACGAGCTCGGCGTCTGGACGCACGCGGTGACGTTCAACGACGCGTGCCTCGTGCTCCCCCTCTTCTCCTGGCACGCGCCGGACTTCGTGGACCAGAAGATCACGGGCCACGACCGCTTCTTCGACGCCTTCGACTGCCAGACCGTCTGGCCGGAGTGGCTCGGGAGCCCCCGTGTCGAGGTCGCGCGGGACCCGCGCGTGGCCAAGTTCTTCCTCCAGCTCAACAAGCCGGCGCTGGCCTACGCGGAGCAGCGGCGCGACGCCCTCGAGCGCGAGGGCAACCGCCTCGACGTCGTCGCCGTGTCCCACTTCCTGCCGCTTCCCGAGCTCTTCCCGGGGCCGCTGCTCCTGAAAGCCGTCATGGGCTGCGCGGGCCTCCAGAAGCAGATCGACAAGGTCGACTGCGTGCGCGTCGCCGTCGCGGGCCACTCCCACATCAACTTCGACCAGGACATCGACGACGTCCGCTACGTCCAGTGCGCGCTCGGCCCAGGGCAGCAAAAGAGAGCGAACTTCCCAACTTCAAAGGCTCATATCTCGGCCGTTTTCCACTCGTTTTGGCTGATTTTTGGACGAGCGATCATCTCTCGGAACGGTCTCGAAGCGTGGATGCTATTTCCGGAACGCGCGCGCGCGGAACACTCACGTTGAAGCGACGTTGAATCACCCTTGTCCTGCCCAGGCTCGGCCACGCGGAGCGCGACGACACGGGCGCGCGCAAGGCCCGCGACCTCAAGCCCGCGCTCCTCTACTCGGCGCGCCCGCTCTACGCCTAGACGCTTCGCCAAAAAAAAAAGCCGCCCGGGCCCCCGGCCCGCGGGCGCCCCGGCTCAGCCGGGCGACCGCCGCCGCCGGGCCCGCGGCCTCGCCGCCGCCGCCGCCGCTCGAACCTCGCCGCCGCCGCCGCCGCCCCGCCCGTCCGCCGCTCTGTGCATGTTCGCGGCGGACCCCCTCTATTGTGTGTTGTAAGAAGACGCGCTGTGGCCATCTTGAACTGCATGTTTGACCCGTGTTGCCTCGAGCTCGAGCGCTCCTCGAGCTCTCCGGCGCTGCCTGCCGACGCTGCGCCTCGCGCTCGTCCTCGGACGCCGGCGCGCCGTCTTCGGCGGCCATGGTCGTGCGCGTCAACTACGACGGTCCCTGGCCGCCGGAGCAGCCGGCCGAGGGCCTCCACGGCGACCGCTACGAGGTGCGCGGCGTCGTCACCAAGGTCGTCGCGAGCGCCCAGCTCCTGCACGCCTCGCGCGCCTCCGGCTGCCTCAAGCACAACGCCGGCGCGGCCAACGTGCGCACGGTCGCCGCGATCTCCGTCGCCGTCGACGCCGCGGCCGCGTCGGCGGAGGAGGCCGAGGCCGTCGAGGCTCTGCGGAAGGCGTGCGCGGACCGCACGGACCGCGCGGAATGCGCGTTGTACGTGCCGGCGACGCGGCTCGCGGCGCTCAAGGCCGGGAACGCGGACTCCGCGGCCGAGGCCGTGGCCGTCGGCGACGTCGTCGCCGCGACCCTGTTCGCCTCGACCGCGCCCTTCGCGGCCGCGCTCGACGTCGTCTCGCGCGCGAAGCGCGGCGCGGCGAAGTCGGCGCACGCGACGACGAGCATGTACAACAACGCGGCCGTCGACGTCGAACCGGGTTCCGCGCGCTCCGTTTTGGAAAATCCGCTCCTCGAAGACAAAATCGGGGCCGGAAAAAAATGCCGTTCCATGTTTCCTACATATAAAACTAAACATTCGAGCACCTCCAGACCAAATTCCACAACAATACAACGCGCGTTCTTCGCGCTCGTAGTCTCGGGAAATGCGACGAGCGTTTCTACGGTACCGCATTTACGTACCCCGAAATCGACGAATGCGGACCTCCCGACCGTCGCGTTATGCTCCCGAAGCATATGACACAAAGGCCCGACAAAAAAATCGGGATTTTTTTCGTCGGCCCCGAGACGCCCTCCCCACCCCTAGCACTCCCTAGTGCTACGCGCTAGTGATCCGCGCGCCAGGACTACGTGAGGGGAAATCCGTGATAGCGGTCGGACCGCGCGACCGTCGTTCCCCGTGTGGTGCGGCGCCGCTTCCCAATGACCCTGGACAAAGCGGCGGCTGGAACGACGGGCTGTGTTGAAGTTCAAGTTGAACCTATGATCTAAGATGAACTTCAAGTTGAAGTCACCATGCGTCCGGAAGCACGTCTTTGCGCCGGACTCGCGCGTCCTCGACGAAGCGAGAGACTCACAACAATCCAAACACGATGCCTTCGCAAAATTCCGTCTGGAAACAGCTTCCCAATGTTTCTTGACGTCGACGCGTCGGGCTTCGCGGACAAGATCATGGGCATGACCATCGCGGAGAAGGCGCCCGCGCCGTCGACGAACGACGACGTCGAGGACGACGAGTGGGACGACTGAGGATAAGCTACGAGGAACAAAAACGAGGGCGGTGGGGTCACTAGACCTCGGTGGACGCGCCCTCCTCGCCGCCGAGCTCGGCCATCTCGCGGCCCTCGCGGTGTTCGCTCGCGTCGTGGACGTGGACGGCCTCGCCGCCGTGGCCCTCCTCCTCGAAGGCGTCGTAGGTGTGCTCGCGCTCGTGGTCGACGGCGACGAAGCCGATGAAGACGGCGCCGAAGGCGAGGATGTTGAGCATGATGATGGAGTGCATGAAGGAGTAGCCGTCGTCGGAGAGCGGGTCCGTGTCCGCGTAGGCCTCCCCGGACTCGTCGTCGTGCGCGTGGTCGTCGTGGTCCGCGTCGTGGTCCGCGTGGTCCTCGAGCCGGCGGCGCGCGCCCTCGTCGCCGCTCGCGGCCTTGAGGCACTCGGAGTTGAGCGTCTGCTCGTTGGCCGCGAGGTGCAGCGTCCACAGGATCACGAAGATGGAGCCGAGGCGGCCCAGGTGGAGGCGCCAGCGCGGGAACGACGCGCGCACGGGCAGCAGGTAGCCGCTCAGCGAGCACGCGGCGACGATGATGATCATGCACGTGACCGTGAGCCACATGTAGTCCTTGTGCATGTTGTTGATCTCGTCGAGCGTGTAGCCCCCCTCGCTGAGGCGCCGAATGGGCCGCGCGGGGAAGTTGATCTTCTTGTAGTCGCCCGTGTGGCAGCCCGTCGACGACATGAGATCCTCGTAGTTCGACACCGTGTACCCGAGCCCCTTCAGCCCCACGCCCATGAGGAACACGGTCATGGACAGCGGCCCGTGGAGGAGCATGACGGCCGCCTGCGTGTAGCGGGCGCCCTGGTCCCCTAAAAACTCCATGAGCTTGTGGACGTGCGTCGTGTCGAAGTAGAGCACGGCCATGCTCACGACGGCGAGGCACGTCAACACGTCGACCTTGAGGTAGATGTGGGCGAAGGTGTGCTCGTGGTCGAGCATGCCCACGATGGACTCGCCGAAGGCGAGCATGATCCACGCGGACATGCGCTCGCCCGCACGCTCGGAGCAAAAGTGCATGGACCCGCCGACGCACGTGTAGATCGTGGGCAGCTGCTCGACGAGCACGGCGACGAGCCAGAGCGCCACGGTCCTCATCTTCTTCGGGGCCATCCTCGCTCAGCGCGCGCCGCTCGTGGAAGTTGTCGTAGCACTTCGACGCTTTGGGGTCCACGTGCGGGTTGAGCGCGAAGGTGCAGCCGAAGAGCACGATGGAGAGGCCGAGGCCCAGCAATTTCAGGCCCGTGTCCTGCATGAACCTCTCGCGGTGGCGCGCGCGCGCCGCGACGTGCGCCCAGACGCCGACCAACCCGAGGCGGTTGACGATCGTCGCGGTGGCGAAGTAGGTCGCCTGGTGGTTGAAGTCGAAGAACTCGTAGTCGACGTGGCTCAGGAACGTCGCGGCGACGTAGGACGACACGACGTGGAAGGCTAGAAAGAAGCGGTGGAGCACGTCGTCCGCGGCGAACTTGGTGAGGTAGACGTTGAGCAGCGACCAGGAGCTCCAGAAGGAGAGGAAGAGCGCGACGGTCGTCGCGTAGCCCGTGGCGCTCGGGTTGTACTTGACGGCGCTGCGGGGGCGCGGGGTTTCGAGGGATGCGTCCGGGCGGGGCGGCCCACCTGAGGCGCATGAAGACGACGACGAGGATCAAGTCGTAGAAGAGCTCCCAGTAGGTCTCCGGGTGCTCGCTCTCGTGGTTGTCCGGCCGGTGGGCGATGCGGATCGTCTTCTTCTTCTTCATCTTCGCGTGCTCGACGGTGTCGCCATGATCCTCATGGCCGCCCCCCATCGTGCATGCACTGGCCAGGGCAGCGAAGAAGCCGTTCTTTTTTGAAGAAGCTAGTTGAAGCACATTATTGAAGGGCACGGACCATGCCCCGGCAAAGCTCGACGAGCTTCCGGAAGACGGCGTCGTCGCGGTCGCCGAGGCCGTCCATGACGCCGTGGTGGTCCGCGGCGCTGTAGACGACGTCGACGCGCCGGCACCGGCGCCGGAGCGCCGCGGCGAAGCGCTCGACCTGGGCGCCGTTCGCGGCCGCGTGGAGCGTCGAGACGGCGACCAGGACGGACACGTCGCTTCCCAGGGCCGCCGTCGGCGCGTGGAAGGCCGGGCTGACGCGCTCGTAGAAGTCCGGCGCCCCGGAGGCCGCCGCCGCGTGGAGGAAGGGCACGACGTTCGGCGCGAGATTCGCGTACCGCGGGCGGGCCTCGGCCATGAGCCGCGGGTCGTAGAGGCCCGTGTCGACGCAGGCGACGCCGCGCAGGGATTTTTCCGGGTCGACGCCGCGGCGGAGAAGGTAGGCGGGGTTCGTCGCGACCGTCGCGGCGAGGTGGCACCCGGACGAGAAGCCTCCGAGCGCGACGCGGCCCGCGTCGCCGCCGAAGCGGCCGACGTTCGCCAGCGTCCAGGCGAAGGCCGCCGCGACGTCGTCGCACATGGCCTCCATGGCGCAGTCGGGCAGGGCGCGGTGCGTCGCCGCGACGACGACCACGCCCTCTTTCGCCGCGGCGGCGCCGAGCGGCGCGACCGTCGACTTGTCGCCGCCGACCCAGCAGCCGCCGTGGATGAAGACGAGCACCGGCGCGTCCTTTGCCGTTTCAGGTGCGTAGACGTCGAGCATCTGCCGCGCGTCGTCGCCGTAGGGCACGTTCTGCGCCGTGGGTGTGTGGGCGGCGGCGTCGATGTCGCGGTACTCGATCCCAATGGCTTGCAATGCGCGGTACCGCAGAAGCAGCGCCTCGTAGGTCGCGAACGGGCTCAGCGACATGACGACGTGGCCGAGGCCGCGCAGCACGAGCGAGACGCGGGCAGCCCGCGGGCTCTCCCTCGTCTCCATCGTTTATGCGCGCCGAGCGTGTCGGCAACGTGCTCCTTGTGTGCAGTTCACAACCCGAGTTTAAAACTCTGAGCTCTCCTCGATCCGCGCTGCCACTGTGCGACGCCGCAATCAACCATTGCGGACTCGCTCATGAACTTCGTGCGCGCCGCCGCGAGCGGCCTCAAGGCCGCGGCGGCGCCGCCGCCGGCCGCCGCCGCGCGCCTGAGCTCGTCGGGCCCGCCGAAGCGGCCCCTGAGCGCCTACTTCCTCTACCTGCGCGACGCGCGGTCCCGCGGCGACGAGCCGGCCCTGACGGGCAGCGCGCAGGCCAAGGCGCTCGGCGCGCGCTGGCGCGCCCTCGGCGACGGCGAGCGGTCCGCGTACGCCGCGCGCGCGGAGACCCTGAAGGCCGAGTACGCGGCGGCCAAGGCGACGTGGGAGGCCGCGCACGGGCCCGTGCCCAAGGTGCCGCGCCCGTCGAAGGCGCGCGGCGCGCCGCGGAAGCCCCGGCGGACCACGGCCTACGCCGTCTTCTTCAAGGACACGAAGCCGACGCTCGCGTCCTCCCTCTCCTTCGGCGCCGCGTCCAAGGAGATCTCCGCGAAATGGGCGGCGACGGGCCCCGCGGCCCGCGCGCCCTACGAGGCCCGCGCCGCCGAGCTGACGAAGAAGAAGCTCGCCGAGTACGAGGCCGCGGCCGTCGCGGCGCCGTCCTAGGCCGGCCGGTAACGCCCTAGAAATCGAGCGCGATGGTACGGTCGCCGTAGCAGCACGCACAGGGCGACACCGCCGGCGGGATATGTTACTATACGATGTGGGCCTGGCGCTTGCCGCGGCCGCCGTCGCGGCGCTTCGAGCACCGGCCCGCGCAAAAGGCCGCGAAGGCGACGCCGGCGAGGAAGCCGAGCGGGAGCGGCGGCGGCGGCGGCGGGTCGTCGCGCGTCAGCTTCGCGGGCGCCGCGGGCCGCCGCGGCGGCGCCGCGGGCGCGACGGCCGCGGCGATGGGCGGCCTCTCGGCGACGGGGAACGCGGGCGGCTCGAGCGGCCGCGGCGGGGCCTCGGCCTCGCGGGGCACCTCCGTCGGCGACGCGTTCGCCGAGTTCGCGTGGTCGCGGTCGCGGTCGCCGACGACGGACTGCCAGAACTCGTCGCGCGTCGCCGCCAGCTTCGACACCGCGTCCTCGACGAGCGTCTCGACGGCGCCGTGCGCGGGCGCCGCGTCGCGACCCGCGTTGTTCGCCGTCGTCCAGTGGAGCGCCGCCGACGCCTTGGACGTGCCCTTCATGTAGAAGTGGAGCTGGCCGCCCTTCTTCAGCGCGCTGTAGCGGATCGACGGCGCGTCGACCTTGACCTCGCCGTGGTCGCCGGCCGTCGCGAGCCAGATCTCCGCGACGTCCGTCACGGACCGGTCGGGCCGGTGCGCGTAGATGTCGAGCGCCGGCCGGCCGGGGATGCCCGAGATGGTCACGCGGTCGAAGAGCGGGCCGCCGAGCACGTAGTCCTCGGACCCCGGCGACACGGAGAAGAGGCCCAGCGCCGCGAGCACGAACCAGGAGCCCATCTCGCCGTTGTCCTCGTCGCCCGAGTACGCGTCCGCCATGTAGGCGTCGTCGATGACGCGGCGCACGTGCTTGTTGCCCAGGTCCGCGCGGCCGCACAGGTGCAGCAGCCACAAGATGTGGTGCGACGGCTGGTTGTTGTGGCCGTACTGGCCCATGGCCAGCGCGCGCATCTCGCGCATCTCGTGGATCGTCTGGCCGTAGCCGCCGGCCTCGAACGTCGACGGCGCGTCGAGCATGTCCATGATCTGCTTCACGAGGCCGTCTTTGCCGCCGTGGAGGCTCGCCAGCAGCTCCACGTCGAAGGGCGGGAAGCTGTGGTGCCACGCGGAGCCCTCCGTGTAGCCGTCGCCCCACCGCGTCGGCGAGAAGCGGGAGCTGAACGCGCCGCTCTTCTGCTTCGGCCGCATCAAACCCGTCGACTTGTCGTAGAGGTGGGTCACGGCGCCGCGCGCGCGGTCCCGGAGCCGCTTCGCGTCCTCGGCGTGGCCCAGAACCTCCGCGGCGTTCGCCGTCGCCCAGTCCGCGTGCGCGAAGTCCAAGGTCCGCGACACGCAGTCGGACACGCCCGAGTCCGCGGGGATGTAGCCGTGCTGGTTGTAGACGCGCAGCCCGACCTTCCCGACGGCGCCGCCCTGGGGCGCCTCCTCGTAGGCGTCCTTGTGGAGCGCGTCCCAGGCCGCGGCCTCGTCGAAGCCGCCGACGCCTTTCACGATCGCCTCCGCCACGACGACGTCGCCGTAGGTGCCGACCATGGAGTTGCGGTAGCCCGGCGACGCCCACTTGGGGATCCAGCCGCCCTCGCGGTAGGCGTTGACCCACCCATCGACGATCCAGCCGAGGTGGTCCGGGTAGACCAAAGCCAGCAAAGGGTAGACGGTGCGGAACCTGCGTGGAAATCGACCGGTGAGCTGGGGACGTCGGGGCCAAGCTTCAGAACTCTCGAGCTCGGTCACATCGAAGTCGATTCGGCTCATTCTTGGACGAACCGATTGCCCTCGGCGAGTTCGCGACGCACGACCGAGGAGTCCGATCATAACCGTTTGAATTACGCTCATATTGAAGTCGGGTTGAAGATTTCCACGCGGCGCGGAACGTGTCCCAGAAGCCGTTGTCCGTCACGAGCGTGCCGTCGTGGACGCTGCCGCCCTTGGAGTAGGGGCTCCAGTGCACGCGCGTCTCCGCGCCGCGGGCCGACGGCTCGTCGATGCGCCGGGGGAACGTCAGCGCGCGGTAGAGGCCCGTGTAGAACACCACCAAATCCTTGCCCTCGAGCGCGGACGTCGGCGGCGACGCGTCCGCGTGCGTGTTCTTCACGGCCGCGCGGCTCAACAGCGCGTTCCACTCGTCCTCGGACTCCAGCCGCACGTCGCCGAAGCTCCGCTCGTGCGACGACTCCCGTCGGAGCTCGACGTCGTACGTGTGGCGCGCCTGCTCCTGCGAGATGAACCTGGGCAGCACAAGAGTGATTCAACGTCGCTTCAACGTGAGTGTTCCGCGCGCGCGCGTTCCGGGAAAAGCATTCACGCTTCGAGACCGTTCCGAGAGATGATCGCTCGTCCAAAAATCAGCCGAAACGAGTGGAAAACGGCCGAGAAAGGAGCCTTTGAAGTTGGGAATTTCGCTCTCTTTTGCTGCCCTGAGACGAACGACGAGCACATGCGCACCTCCACGGTCGTCGCCGACGACGGGTAGCCGAAGCAGAACGTGTCGTGGCCGTGGGACTCGAAGGACGGCGACCCGGAGACGGCCTCGACGAAGACGTGGTGGTTGAAATTGGGAGCGCCGCCGGAGTTCCGGTTCGTCCGGAACTCCGCGGCGCCGCCGCCCGCGGACTTGTAGGAGTCGCCGCCGCCGCCGCCGAGCTTGAAGCAGACCCGCTTCTCCGCGCGCGACGCCCCGGGGAACGTGACCCGGAGCGCGGCGCCGTGCATCGTCGGCGCGAGTTCGACGCGCATGCCGTCGGGCGCGGTGCGGAAGTCCATCGCGTGGGGCTTGATGCGCCCGCTCCGAGGCTCGAAGAAGCCCGTGGGCTTCGTCGTGAACCCGCCCATCTGCGGGCCGACGAAGAACCAGCCGTAGTCGCCGATCCACGGGCTCGGCTGGTGCGTGCACCGGATCCACCGGAACTCGTGGTCGTTGCCGTTGAACCACCAGCTGCTCTGGCCGTCGTTGGTCTGGAGCGCCCAGTGGTTGAAGCCCCAGGGCCGGCCCACGAGCGGCATCGTGTTCCCCGTCGAGAAGACGTCGCCCTTGGTGAAGGACCCGGCGAGCAGGTTGGCGTACTCCACGGGGCTGAAGGCGTCGGCCTCCTCGGCGACCGCCGCGGCGGCGCAGAGCAGGAGCAGACACGCGCCGCGGGCGGCGGCGCGCGCCATGGCGGCGTGCGCGCGACGCGGCGCACCCGCGCGAACTGGCGCTGGACACGGCGACGGCGGCCGTGGGCTTGTGGCCGCTGTTGATCGGCGATCCGTTGCGGCAATAATCGTCGCCTCCGCAGCCGTCCGCCACACGACCGTTATGAGCCAGCGCCCCCTAGCGTTTCTTCTTCTTGTCGGCGAGCTTCTGGCCGTCGCTGGGGTCGATGCCCATGTCCCGGCACGCCTTCTGGTAGACGGCGGGGAAGCTGTCCTTGACCGCGTGGTAGCGGAACCCGATGACGGCGAGGAGGCAGAAGATCCAAGCCTTCTTGATGTCGGGGATCTCCGCGGAGCCGATGGCCTGCGACGCGCGCGGGTGCGCGCCGGCGGCTCGCGACGCGCGCGCGCGCGCTCTCGCCGCGCGCTCCGGCGCCGGCGCCTCGGGACGCGGCGAGCGACGGCCCACATGAAGGTGAGGACGACGAGGCTGAAGAGCGAGAGGCTCGAGCCGATGGCCATGAACGGGCTCGCGCCGCCCTTGGACCGCGACGCGTTCTTCGCCATGCGCATGTAGTCGAGCTGGCGGTTCTGCCGCCCTTCCTGCGAGGCGCGCGGCGCGACTGCGGCCGCGGCGCGGCGCGGCGCGCGGCGACGGCGCACCTTCGACTTGCCCATGCTGCTTGCTTTCGGCGCGCGCGTCGGCACTGGCTGCCGAGCACGACCTGCGTGTCCGCGACGTCGAGACGTCAACACGCTTGTTGCAGGTGAACGAGCCGCACGTGAAGCTCGCGATGATGGCAGCCCATCGCGCGAGATAACATATGAGCCTCACAATGGTTGTCGCTGCAGTAATTTTGCTCGTGGTCGCGGGCTTCGCCCTCTCGAGGACCCAGAACGTCGTCGTCCGCGTCGCCGTGGTCGTCGTCCTCGCCCAGGTCTTTTTGCACCGCCTCGTCGTCCCCGAGCAGCCCCACGCCGGCCTCGGCTTGCGCCGTGAAGGCCGACGTGCCCGGCGCGCTGCTGCGAGGCGCCGCTGAGCACCCGCCCGCGGCGGCGGCGGCGGACCCGCCCGCGGCGCTGCCGCGAGGCGCCGCGGAGCACCCGCCCGCGGCGGCGGCGCCGGACCCGACCGCGGCGCTGCCGCGAGGCGCCGCGGAGCACCCGCCCGCGGCGGCGGCGCCGGACCCGCCCGCGGCGGCCGCGCCCGCGGGCTGCGTGCCGTCGCTCGCCGCGCTCTCCGACGCGGAGCGGTCCCCGCGCCGGGGCCCGCGGCACCAGGTCGAGCCGCCGGCGTCGCGCGTCGCGCTCGTGTGCTGCGCGACGACGGCGGGCCCGCTCTCCGTGGCCGTGCGGCCGCGCTGGGCGCCGAGGGGCGCGAAGCGCTTCATGGACATGGTCCGCGGCGGCTACTTCTCCTCGAAGGTGCCGCTCATGCGCTGCGTCAAGGGCTTCCTGTGCCAGTTCGGGCTGCCGGGGATCCCGAGCCTCGCCAAGGCCTTCGGCGGCAGCTTCCCGGACGACCCGTCGTGGCTGCCCCACGGGCCCAAGCACTGGAAGGTCGGCGGCGTCGAGCGCTTCGCCAAGGGCTACTTCGCCTACGCCGGCGCCGGGCCGAACTCGCGGGGCAACCAGTTCATCGTGTCGCTCGCGCCGTCGGAGCGGCTCTGCGGCGGGTCGCCCTGGGAGGTCCCCTGGGGCGAGGTCGTCGGCGGTTTTGGGACGCTGGACGCGATCTCGACGGCCTACGGCGAGAAGGGGCCGAGCCAGGGCCGGCTCGCCGCGCGGGGCGCCGAGGGCCTCGAGGCAGCCTTCCCGCTCCTCGACTACGTCACGTCCTGCGTCGCGGTGGAAGACGCGACGGAGCCCGCGGACTGGGCGCCGTACCCGCCGGGCTTCCGCCACGCGACCTTCGAGGCCCGCGACGAATAAGAAATTCGAAACAGAGCGGAAATAAGGCGAGCGGAAATAAGGCGGGACGAGGCGACGCGCGCGCGCGCTAGGTCTTCGGCACCTGGAGGACGGTGACGTTGCGGACCCGGTGGAGCTTCTGCTTCTGCGCCGTGTCCCGGTCGTCCGTGAAGGGCGGCGCCGGGTCGGCCGCGTCGCCGTCGTCGCCGTCGCGCGCGGCGATGATCTGGTTCTTCTTCTTGGCCCAGATGGACTGGCGGATCTTGATGCCGCCGCGGCCGCCGCCGGCCTGGTTCGCGTTGTATTTGATCGTCGAGTTCCAGGACTTGGTCGCGGACTGGAAGAGGGGCGTGCGCATGTCCTCCTCGTCCTCGGCGTCGAGGAGCGTCTCGCCCTCGGTGAGCCGCGCGTTGACCTGGAGCTGCTGGAGCCGCTCGACGCGCGTCTTCGCGAGGCGGACGAGGTACTCGCCGACGTCCGGGTAGTCCGTGAGGCAGGGCTCGATGGTGTCGCGGTGGACGCCGTAGACGGACATGATCTGCTTGCAGCGGATCGTCGCCGTGCGCCGGCACTTCAAGATGCACGCGGCCTCGCCGAAGAAGCAGCCGTCGGCGATGAGCCGCACGACCTCGTTGCCCACGGCGCTCACCAAGATCTCCGCGAGGCCCTTGTCGATGAAGTACATCATCTGGCCGTGCTCGCCCTCGATGAAGACGGCGTCGCCCTCGATGAAGACCTGCGGGTCCATCGCCGTCGCCAGAATCTCGGGGAACCGCTTGCCCGCGGTCCGCAGGAGCGGCACCTTGGGGATGAGCTCGCGGATCTTGTAGAATAAAATCTCCGTGCAGAGCTCCGGGTTCAGCCGCTCCAGGATGAGCGACTCGTCGAAGATCTTGCCCTCGGACCACCGGTGGAAGTAGTAGTCGCGGATGCGGTCCCGGAGCTCCGTCGGCAGGTGGAGCGCGCGCATGTACTCGTTGGTTCTCAGCAGCTGCTCCTCGAACTCCTGGGTGGAGACGTTAGAATTCACAATAATCGCCGTGATCGTCGACACGACGGCGGCGTTGAAGAACGTGCCGACGAAGGTGCCGACGAGCGTCATCCACGACTCGATGAGGCACCAGCCCCGCGTCGTCACGCAGATCTGCGCCGCGGGGAACTCCTGGAAGGCCTGGCCGACCACCAACAGCAGCGACTTGTAGACGCCCCAGGAATACGCGTGGCCCACGGACACGACCTCGTCGCCCGTCGTGTGCTCCACCAAATTCCAGAGCACGGCCCAGGACTGCTTCGGGTACTTGTAGGTGCGCAGGAGCAGGAAGAGGATGCAGGACCCCCAGTGGGCCAGCGTGAGCATCATGATGAAGAGGCGCACGAGCTTCAGCACGGAGTCGGACACGTGGATGTGGTAGTACTCCATCGTCACGACCCACTGGTGCCGCACCTTGTTGACGAGCTGGGACGCCCGCAGGAGCTTGATGAGCTTCGTCATGCGCACCAACCTTAGCATCTTCAGCACCTTCTTGCCGTTGAACATCTGGTTGCCCTTGGAGCCCGCGACCTCGACGATCTCCGTGATCGGGAAGCAGCTCAGCAGGTCGATGAGGAACCAGGTCCGCAGGTAGTTGTTCACGACGCGGTCCCGCTGGACGATGATCACCTTCTGCTCGTTGACGTAGCCCGTGTTGAAGTTCTTCATGATGTCCATGAAGAAGATGCCGTCGCAGATCAGATTCACGGTCCGCAGCGCCTTGTTCGTCCGCTCGAAGGCGAGGCAGAGCGGCAGCGTGACGAAGACGAAGATCAGCAGGAACATGATGACGATATCGAAGGCCTGGACGTAGTCGTTGTCCGGCATGAGCAGCTGCCGCCCGAACCAGCCCGTCTGGTCCCCTACTATTCGAACGAACTCCTCGCTGTCGCCCATGGCCATGAGCTCCTTCGAGTGGAGCCGCGACAGGCTCAGCACCTCCCGGCGCCGCGTCGTCTCCACGGCCCAGATGAGGGACACGACCTCGACCTCGCTCAGCGACTCCTCGTCCTGCACGGGCACGCCCGCCGTCGCGCGCTCGACGATGCGCTCCGGCGCCGCGCGGCCGAGGTCCTCCATGATGGCGCTCACGTCCTGGATGCGCACGGGCTTCACGAGGTCCTTGTAGGTGATGGCGACCTTGGCCTTGAAGACCTCCTCCATGCCGTGCTTCGCCTGGTCCGCCTGCAGCTTCATCAACTTGCCCTCCTTGCTCTTCGGGTTCGTCCGGCCCTTCCAGTTGCACGTCGAGCTCCGCTTCGGGAAGGCGCCGTCGCCGGCCTCGACCTTGCCCCGCAAGATCGTCGCCCGGGGGTTGCGCTCCGCGGCGGAGTCGAGGAGCGTGACCTGTGTGCACATCAACCGCTGGTTCGGGACGTCCCGACCAAACTTTGACATGCTCTCGCTCGGTCACATCTAAGTCGATTCGGCTGATTTTTGAACGAATCGATGGCTCTCGTCGAGTTCTCGAAGCGCGGCCGAAGAGCGTGTGTCGAACCATTCGAACATGCGCACATTGAAGTCGGGTTGAAGATGTGCGTCGCACGCGGAGCGCGACCGCGCGCTTCGTCCGGAGGCTCACGGTGCCCGGCGGCGCCGCGGCCGTCGCGAGCGCGCGCGCCATGGGCGTGTTCAGGACGGCCATGGGCGCCGCGTTCAGGCCGGCGACGGTCGACTTGGCGTCGAGCCCCCGCTTGCCCATGCCGTACTTGCTCTGCTGCTGGCCCTTGGTCTTGCGGCCGCCGCCCTTCTTCTTCTTCGTCGTCCGCCCCCCCGCGCCGCCCTTGCCCCGCTTGTCGTTGAAGTGGTAGTTGCCGTTGTGCCCCTTGCCCCGGGGCTCGTTGCCCCCGCCGTCGTCGGCGAGCTTGCCCTCCTCGCCGTCGTCGTCCGCGTCCTCGACCGTGAGCGCGCGGCCGGGGCCGAGGGGGCTCCGCGACCGGGGGCTCCGGTTCGGGTCCAGGGGCGTCACGGCGTCGTCGTCGTCCTCGTCGGACTCCTCCTCGCCCTCCTCGACCATGTCGAAGACGCCCAGCACCTGCTGCTGGGCCCGGATCGTCCGCAGCGAGCCCTGCGGCGAGAGCTCGGGCGTCGACGTCGGCGACGACGTCGCGGACGGCGCGACGTGCGGCTGCACCGCCTCCTCGAGGAAGTTCGTCAGCTCGTAGAGGTCCGCGTTGAGCTCCCCGACGCCGCCCACGCCGATGCTCAGGCGCCGGCACCAGTCGACGTCGAGCTCGCCACCGTCGGCCGCGAGCGCGAGGCACCCGCTGAGCGCCTGCCGGAGCGCGCGGAGGTGGATCTCCAGCTGCACGGGCGCGTCGTCGGCGTGCTCCATGGCCGGCGCCGCACCCGCCGGCGCGGCTCACCGAGGAGACGTCGGCGCCGCCGTTGGAGGTAGACGCGGCGGCGCGCTGCGACGCGGGCGCCGACCAGCGGGGCAGCCCGCGCGTGTCGGGTCGCGCGCGTCGCGTGTCCTCGCGGCCCGTTTTTTCGCGGCCGAGTCGTGCGCGGGGCCCCGCGCCGCGGGAACGCCGAGGTCCGCGCGCCGCGGCTGGCCCCAGCGGCCCCAGACGAGTGGGGAGAGCTCTATGCACAGCGGCAGCGGAGAGCTCAGATGCGTGCTGCCTCACTGAATATGTAAAGCAATGGTGAATATAGGTGAGGTGAATCGGATCCCAGCAGTTGAGGATACCTTGATCAGCATGGGCCCGGGGCCATGCGTACGGGGCTGCCCCGGTGGGCGGTCGTCGCCGTCGTCGCCGCGCTCCTGCTGGCGTGCGCGTTGCGGCGGCGCCCGCCGACGGAGCTGCGCCGGTCCGTCGGCGACGCGCTGCCGGGCGCGCGCGTCTCGCCGACGACCCTCGTGACGGGCCCGCGCACCTTCCACCGCTTCTTCGACTCGAGCCCCTTCTCGCCGAGCGGCCGCTACCTCGCGGCGCTGCGGGCGCCCCGCGAGGGCCCGGCGGACGTCGCGCCGGGCGAGACCGCGGTCGTCGTCGTCGTCGACCTCGAGGCGCCCGGCGGCCCGCGGGTCGTCCGCGAGCGGCCCACGCGCGCCTGGGACGGCCAGCTCGGCGCCCAGGTCCAGTGGGGCGCGAGCGACGACGTCGTGTACTGCAACGACCTCGACCGCGACGGCGCCGTCGCCGGCGTCGCCTACCGCTGGCGCGAACGCGCGTCGGAGCCGCTCCCCGCGCCGGTGTACCACGTGTCGCGCGACGGCGCCTGGGCCGCGAGCCCCGCGGACCTCGGCGCCCTGCGCCTCACGCAGCCGGGCTACGGCGTCGTGCCGACGCCCGCCGCCGCGGCGGCCGCGCGGCGCCGCTTCCGCCGCGGCGGCGGGCCCGACGACGGCGTCGTCGTCCTGGACCTCCGGCGCCGCCGGACGACCCTCATCCCGCTCCGGTCGCTCGTCGCCGCGCTGGGCCGGCCCGCCAGAGCCTGCGCGACGCACCTCTTCCACGTCAAGTGGAACGCGAACGCGACGCGCCTCATGGCCGTGCTCCGCGACCGGGGCGCCGGCTGCGCGGCGGCGAACCACGTCGTCACGATCGGCCGCGACGGCGGCGACGCGCGGCGCGTCGCGACCTGGCGCGCGCGCGGCAACCACCCGAACTGGCTCGACGACGGCCGCGTGTCCATGAACCGGCGGGGCGCGATCCGTTTGTGCGCCGACGCGGAGAACGCGCCCTGCGAAACCGTCGGCGCCCGCGCGTCGGGCCACCCCGTCGCGGCGCCGCACGCGCCGGGCTTCCTCGTCGCGGACACCTACGCGAAGGAGCACGCGGCGTTCGGGCTGCCCCCGGGCGTCGCCGCGCTCCGCCTCGTCGACGCGTCCACCGGCGCCGAGGTGTCCCTCGGGTCGTTCCCCGCCGCGGACCCGCGGCGGAAACCCGACGTCTGGCGCTGCGACCTCCACCCGAGCTTCGACCGCGCTGGCCGGAAAATTGCGTTCAACGTTCGCGTGAACGGGTCGCGCGCGGTCGCGGTGATGGACTTCGGCGACGCGCCGCTCCGGGCCGTCTTCGACCGCCTCCGGGCGGAGGACGAGGCTTGACGAGGCGCGGAGCGCGTGGACGTCGCGGCATCGACGTTGATTTCTGCAACCTCAAAAATGGGCGTTTTCCCTCGAGGATATGAGCACTGCAAGAACCGCTGAGAGCGTCGCTGGCTGAGTGGCTCAGGCTGCCCGTTCCTGTCGTCGTCGCGCCGCAGTCTTGCAGCATGCCGGCGAACGGCCGGCCGGCGTTCCGCCCGTCGGGCGAGTCGCGGCAGCACACGGCCGCCGCCGGGGCCGCGGGCGAGACCTTCGCGCGGCTGCCGGCGCGGCGCGACGGCCGCAACAGCGTCTGGAACCTGGCGCCGGGCGACGTCGGCCAGGCCGACGCCGACGCGCGCACGTTCCTCCACCTCGCCAGGCCCAAGCCCGCGCCGCGCGCGCCGCGGACGCTGGCCCAGGCCAAACTCGACCGGGCCATCGCGGACCAGATCGCCGAGGCCGCCGCGGCGCCCGTCGTGAGTTTGAAGAGCATGTGCGGCGTGCGGCCGAGCCCCTACGCCCTCGAGCGGTCCCTGAGCCGCGCGGGCGGCGGGGCGCGGCGCTGGAGCGGCCGCGACGACGACTGGAGCGAGGAGGAGCCGCGGAGCCCCGCGTCGGCCGCGTCGAGCGGCGGGACGGCGCGGAGGCGGCCGAGCGTCGCGCGGGGCAAGGCCGCCGAGGAGGCGGCGCGGGAGGCGCGGGCGTCGGCCCTGGCGCGCCTCGTCGTCGTGGACAAAGGCGGCAAGGCCTGGCGCAACTGCGAGCTCGGCGGCGCGGGCTTGCCTCTCACGTACGACGACGGGCCGCGGCTCGCGTGCGTCGCGTTCCACGACGCCCGGGGCTGGGCCCTCGTCGCCATCCCCGACGACGTCGTCGTCCAGGGCCAGGTCGGCGACGGCGGCCGGCCGCGCCTCGCCCTCGCGCGGCTCGAGGACGCGGACGCGTCCGGCGGCCGCCTCGCGGTCGCGGACGACGGCTTCGACGGCCTGCTCCCGCTCCGCTACGGCGACGGCAGCTTCTTGAAGCACGCGACGTCCCTCACGGCCGTCGACGCGTCGACGCTCGCCGTCCTCGTGAAGAGCCACGCGACGGGGTCCGGCGCGCGCCAGTTCGACGCCGTCTACCACGTCGACGGCCGGACGGGCCTCTGCCGCCTCGCCGTCGACACGAACCGCGGCGACGTCGTCGCCGTCGCCGCGCCGCCGCCGGGCGCGCTCCAGGCCGCGAGCCTCGCCGGGTCGTCCTGCGCGCACGCCTGGCGCGACGTCCGCTTCGTCGCGTGGTGCCGCGACGCGGGCGTCGGCCTCGTCCGCGGCGCGGCCGACGGCGGCGCGCCGCGGCGCCTCGTCTTCGTGCCCCTGGGCAAGCGGCCCACGGGCGACACGAAGTGGCTCGTCGTCGGCGGCGGGCGCCGCGAGCCGCCGTCGATCCTCGTGGGCGTCGAGAGCGACGTCTACGCGGCGTCGTTCGCCGACCGCATGCTCCTCAAGGTCGGCGCGTGCCCCGTGCCGTCGCCCTGCGCCGCCGCCGTCGCGCCCCACGGCCTCTTGGACGACCCGGAGGACGACGGCGGCGACGCGGCCGCCGCGCGGCCCGCGCGCTACGCGCCGCGGCGCGTCTTCGAGGACGCGCTCGACGACGACGACGACGACGACGCGCCGACGCGCGAGGCCGAGGCCGCCGACGAGCCGCCGCCGCCGCCGGAGGAGGCGGAGGAGGAGGAGCCCCGGGTCCCGCGCGTGCGGCGGCCCCACGACTACCAGCCCATCACGCCCTACATGCTGGGAAACTTCCCCATGCCGGACGACGACGCCGACGCCTACGCCGACGGCGCCGCGCCGCCCGACGACGACGACGACGACGAGGAGCGGCCGCGCGCGCCGCTGGACGTGCCGGTCCTCGAGGACGTCGGCGAGCACGCGTCGCTGTCGCCGCGGCGCCTCTCGGAGACGCCCGCGAGGGCCGTGGCCTTCGCGGACGGCGGCGCGTCGTCGCTCCGGGCGTTGACGGAGCTCGCGGACGCGCCGCTCCCCGGCGGCGACGACGACGACGGCGCCCTCGCGGAGGAGGCGGCGGTGCTCGCCCTCGAGGACCGGCCGCGCGCGCCGTCCGAGTCGCAGCTCGCGCTCGTCGCGAGCCGCCGCGCCTCGGGCTACCCGGCGGGCGACGACGACCCCGTCGCGCGGACGTCCCAGCTCCTCGTCGTCGGCGTCGACGGGTCCGTGCGCCAGGCGGCCTGGGACTTTAGCGGCTTCCTGCGGCTGCCGCGGCTCGCCGCGAGCGACCTGGGCCCCGCGGACGGCCGCCACAACGACACGCACCGCGTCGACGGCCTCGCCAAGGCCCAGTCGGGCCTGCTCGTCGCGCTGGACGCGCGGCGCGCCACGCTGGGGTCCGTCGTCGTCCACGCCGACGGCTACGAGATCGCGCCGCTGACGCCGGGGCCCCTGAAGCTCAAGGGCGCGCCGGCGTCCGCGGTGCGCCTCGCGTCGCCGTGCTTCACGAAGCGGCTCCCCGGCGGCGCCGAGACGCTCTGCTGCGTCCTCAAGTACTCCAAGGCGCTGGAGCGGGCCACGGGCGTCGTCGACAACGACGCCATCGTCACCGTGGACACGGAGGCGGGCGCGCTCGAGATCATCTACGTGACGTCGCGGCGGGACGTCGTCGGCCTGTCGTCCGCGCCGCTGCCCGACGACGTCGAGGACGAGCCGCGCGCGCCGGCGCCCGGGGGCGCCCAGCGCCTCGACCGCAAGGTCCGCGTCGCGGCGCCGAACTTCGGCTACTGGTCCACGAGCGACGGCCTCTGCGCCGTCTGGCTCGACAGCCTCCGGGGCCCCGCGACGGAGCGCACGGTGTCCAAGCCCAAGAACGGCGACGCCGACTCCCTCGTGCCCTTCACGGCGGGGCCCCTGCTGCCCGCGGAGGAGGGCGTCGCCCTCGGCGCGCGGCGCAGGAGCACGAAGGCGGGGCCGACGACGACGACGACGCTCGCGCGCTACGGCCGCGGCTCCGAGACCGGCTTCGAGCCGCTGCCGGCGTCGCTCCAGGAGATCCGCGACGGCAAGGTGCGCCGCCCGCCCACGCAGATCCTCGCGGGCTGGAGGCACCCGGACCACGAGGACCACCCGTGCGAGTGCCTCGCCTACTCGCCGCGCGGCGAGCTCTTCGGGGGAGGGACCTCCCTCTGGGCCATCCACGACGACGGCAGCCGCGCCACGGCCCTCGACCTGCCCGTCGCCGCCGTCGCCGTCGCCTGGGGCGGCCTCCTGTGAGGCCGCGGTTCCGTCGTAAACAGGGCGAGAACGTCGACCGCGGGCGGCGGACGTCGGTGCTTGATTTCAACTTGACGTTCAAGTGAAGCTCTTCTCAGTCCGACATGTCAGGCTCCGCGGCAAGATGGCAGTTTGAATTCAGTGGCGACAGTGGTTCGACCAATCAGATGCGTCGAACCACAATCGACTCTGGAACCGCAGTAGACATGGCGCCTGAACGCCTGGAAGAAAAATGGGCGGGCTGCGTGAGATGAGGTGAGACTCGTGGAGCGCCGGTCGTCCCGGCGGTCGATCCTGCGTCGCACTGCTCTCTTTAATGCGCCTCGGGCAGGAGTCGGAGCAGGCCGCCAAATTGCTGCCGCTCGTCCGCTGCGGCTCCATCGAGCAATTGGACGAGCACTTGTCGGCCGACCCCGGCGCGATCCACTGCACGGATAAGTTTGGCAATTCCCTCCTCCACGTCGCGTGTCAATCCGGCAACAAGCGCGCCGTCAAGTTCTGCCTGCGGAAGGGCCTCGACGTCGACGCGCGGAACGCGGACGGGCAGACCCCTTTACACCACTGCTTCGCCCTCGGGCACAGCGCGCTCGCCGCCTACCTCATCGACAAAGGTGCCGACGACTCCCTGCGCAACGCCGCGGGCCTGACGCCCTACGAAGGCACGCGCCTCCACGGCGATTCGCCCGCGGAGGAGCGCGTCGGCCACTTCCGCCGCTAGGTTAGGACGAGGGGCTCCGCGGGGCACGACGCCGGCGTCGCGAGGGCGAGGGTCGCGGTGACGAGGTCCCGGAAGTCCGCGCGCTTCGGCGGGTCGTTCTCCGGGATGGCGTGCTCGTAGCCCCCGAGGTTCCGCGTCCCGCTCGGCCAGTGCTGGCGGAGCCACTTGTCCCGGTCGCCGTTGGACGCGTCGCGGAAATCCTCGCGGAGCGCCGCGTGGAGCGCGACCTGCTCCGCGGCCTCAACGTAGTGGAAGGACACCGTGTGGCCGTCGCAGCAGGCCGCGCCCGACGGGAGCGGGTGCGCCGGCGGGTCGGAAAATTCCAGCATCTCGTGCATGCGCCGGTACCAGTCGTCGACGCCGCCCGTCGACGTGCGCACGGGCCCGAAGGCGTGGAAGACGTGGCGCCCGGCCACGCGCGTGTCGACGGGCGTCACGCCGCGGCTCGCGAGGCACCGCGCGAGGACGAGGCCCGGGTTGCCCTGGAGCCACTTCGACGCCGCCGCCGCGGAGCAGGTCGGGTCCTCCGCGGCCCAGGCGGCCTCGAGCAGGTCGAGCGTCGCGCGCGTGAGCACGTAGCCGCTCGCGCCGGAGTTGAAGACCTCGGGCGGCTGTTTTCCGTTCCGCTGCGCGAGCGCGTGCCCCGCGTAGAGCGCCGCCGCCGGGTCGAGGCGCCTCAGGAAGCAGGCCAGGTTCGGCGCCAGGATCGCCGTGTGGTCGTTGGCCATGAACGCGAAGTCGACGCCCGCCGCGGACACCCTTCGCAGCACCCACTCGAGGCGCGCGGTGCCCATCGCGTCCGTGATGGTGGCCGGAACCAGCAAATTCTTCGGGTAGCCGTCGCAGGTCCACGCCTCGAAGGTCGGCCACTCCTTGGGCAGGTGGCCGTGGCCCACGAAGACCGCGCGCGCCTCGGGGCCCCAGGTCGACGCGATGGCCCGGAGCCGCGCGGGGCGCGCGGGCGGCGCGACGACGGACGGCAGGACCACGGTGACGTATCTGCGCGCCGCGCAGGGGAGCACGTCGAAGGCGCTCGCCGCGCCGCGCGGCCGCGGCGCGGGCGCCGGCGTCGGCGCGGGCGACGGGTCGTCGTCGTCGTCGGGCGGCCGCCGCGGCGCGTCGCGGACGGCGCGCCGCGGCCGCTCGCCGCTCTGCGGCCGCGCCGCGCGCTTGGGCTTCGGCGGGCGCTGGCGTCGGTCGCCGGGCGCCGCCGGCGCGTGGTCGCCGCGCCAGGACGGCAGCACCGCCGGCGCCGCGGCGCCGCGCCGCGCGGCGCCGCCCATGGACGCGCCGAGGCGGTAGGCGGCGAACGTCGCCGCGCAGGCGACGAAGACGCGGAACCAGGTGAGCTCGTCGCGCTTCTGCTCGCCGTCGTCGGACTCGCCGCCGCTCTCGAGCGAGTCGTTGCGACGCCGAGCGCGCATCCCCTGACGGAGCGCAATCAGGCTGTGGCGCAGCTCGTAGCAATGATGAGGTTTTCAGGTTTCCAAAAGTTTGGTGGCTCGGAGCCAAAGGTCAAAATTTACCCCGCATTCTGGTCCGGATTCCGGACGAGCGCGTTTTGGCTGTGAGCTGTATCTCAGCGGCATTGGATTTCGTCAGGGGTAAAGAGGTTTGTGGTAAATTGCTCAAGTTTCAGCGAGGTTCAATAACGCGCGCTGTAAAAGTGATTCGCTTCCGCGCGTCCACGATGGCCGACGGCGCAGCGACGGCGGACGATCCCTTCGAAGGCGCGTCGAGCACGCGCATCCGCATCAACAACATCCCCGAGAAGTGCAACTGGAGCCAGATCCGCAAGATGTTCAAGGGGTCGACGAAGATCCAGTCCGGCAAGGTCGATCTCAAGGCGCGCGACGCCTGGGCCGAGTGCAGCGACGCCGACGCCGCCAAGGCCCTGGCCCTGTCCATCGCCGTCCACGCCTTCGAGGGCGGCGCGTGGGTCGTCGAGTTCGAGACGCCGCCGCCGCCCTTCGTGCCTGAGCACAAGCGGAACAAGGCCGCGGGCCAGTACGGCGGCCCCGCGCAGAAGACCTACGGCCGCTTCCCCGACGAGCCCGCCTACCGCACGGGCTCGTCGCGCAAGGACGACGACAACGACTACAGCAAGCGCCGCCGCGACGACTACCACGACCGCCGCCGCCGCCAGGAGCAGGAGGACGAGCGGCGCCGCGAGTGGGAGCGCGGGGCGGGAAACGCGCGATTCAAGTTCGCTTCAACATGAGTGTGCCGCGCGCGACCGCTTCGGAAAAAGCAGCCACGCTTCGAGAACGCTCCGAGAGACGATCGCTCGTCCAACAATGAGCCGAAACGAGTGGAACATGACCGAGATATGAGCCGCTAAAGTTGGGAATGTCCCACTCTTGTCCTGCCAGGTGGGAGTACCAGATCCGCCGCGACGAGGACCAGCGCCGCCGCGACGACCGCGACGCGGACCGCCGCGACCGGAGCCGCTCCCGCGACACGCGCGGCTCCCGCCGCTCCCACAAGGACGACCGCCGCGACCGCTCCCGGGACCGGTCCCGCCGCCGCTGAGGGCGGCCTCGCGCGCGCCGCCGCGCCCGCCCCCGCAACGGCGCTCCCGTGGGCGCGTTAGCGCGAGCTCGGCGGCGCCCTAGTGGAACGACGGGGACTGGGGCGGCTTCGCGACGGGCTTCTCCCACTGGCACGCGCCCGTGCTCTCGTGGACGTAGTAGCACCGGCCGCTCGCGGGGTCCTTCTTCTCCCACCAGCCGTCGCCGACGGGCGCGCAGTCCTTCTGCGCCTCCGCCGGCGGCGCCGCGGGCGCCGCGGGCGCGGGCGCGGCGGGCTCGAAGGCCGCGGGCTCGAACGCGGCCGGCGCCGCGGCCGGCGGCGCCGCGGGCTCGAACGCGGCCGGCGCGGCCGGCGGTGCGGCCGCGGCCGGCGCCGCGTCCGGCGCCGCGGCGGGCGCCTGGGCGGGCCCCGGCTGGGCCAGGGCCGCGGGCACGAGCAAACCCTGCTGGTGCAGCTGGTGGAGCGCGGCCTGCTGCTGCATCGCGTGGTGCAGTTGCAGCTGGTGCGCGGCGAGGAGCCGCGGGTCCGCGGCGCCGCCGGCGCCCAGCAGGCCCGGGTTGAGGCCCGGCGGGGCCGGGGGGAAGACGACGCCCGGCAACCCCAGCGCGGCCAGGTTCAGCGACCCCGGCGGCGGCTGGACCTTGGGCCGCCGGCCCCGGGGCTTCTTCGCCGCCGCGGGCCCGCCGTCGCCGCGGGGCTTGTTCACGGACCCCTTGGGCCTCCCGCGCTTCTTGCCCGTCGTCTCGCGCTTGAGGTGGTAGTTGCGCAGGCACCGCGCCTGCACGTCCGGCGGCAGGTCGCCCGCGCCGTTGACGAGGATCTGCTGGAGCCGCGCGCGCTCCGCGAGGTCCAAATGCTCCGGGAACGCGACGGCCCAGAACGTGCGCGGCGCCTCGGCGCGCCCCACGGCCGCGGGCTCGGCGTGCGCGCGCTCGCCGAAGCGGTCCGCGCACGACGGGCACCGCGACTTCTCGAACGTCGCGCCCCCTTCGCCCTTCGCCGGCAGGAGCGCGTCCGCGCAGTCGCCGTGCCAGCAGCCGTAGCAGCCCGCGACCTCGCAGAAGTAGAGCTCGCGCTCCAGGGCCCCGGCGCCGCCGCACTTGAGGCAGCGGCCGCTGAGCTGCGCGGCGCGCGCGTCCGCGTCGTCGCGCCGCGGCGCCGCGCGCGCGGGCCGGTCGACCTCGCCGCCCGACGTGCCGTCGACGCAGTTCACGCAGCGGTAGCCCTCGTCGTCCGGGGGCATGCGCAGTAACCCCGAGCAGCGCAGGTGCGTCTCGCAGTCGCACGCGTCGCAGATGAGCACGTTCGACATCGGCGCGCCCGAATCCGTGACCGTGTACTCGCCGCACGTGTCGCAGACGTCGTCGAGCTCGTCGTCGTCCCAGGTCTGCCAGGCCTTCTCCTCCGCGCTGAGGGGCGCCTTCTGGGCCGCGGCCCGGGGGAAATTCGGCGGCTTGTGCGACTTCTTGTCCGCGTACTGGACGAAGCCCTTGCCGGTGTCGTGCGCCAAATCCGCGAGCGTGCCCCCGAGGTCGAGGAACTCGCCGACGGTCGTCGCGGCCTTGTACTTCTCGTAGCGCTCCCAGGACTTGGTCTGGGGGCGCTTCGGGTTGTCGGGCATGCAGGCGAGCTTGCGGTCCAGGTCCGCCGTCATGGTGGTGCGGCGGGTGCCGACCGGGCGCCGTCGGCGGCGGGGTCGCGGTCGGTGCGGACTCGGGGGCGCGCGGACGAGGCGGCGGCGCTGCGGCGGCGTCGACGCGGCGCGTTTGAACGATGCCAGGAGCCCGGTGCGGCGCCGAGCTCGACTCGATCGAAGCGATCGAGGAGCAAACATCGCCCTATGGCGGCTCGATGAAGCGTGTTGCACCCCCGCGCACTTGTCGATGCTCATCTACCCGTCCGCCGCCTCGCTCGGGGACGCACCGCGGCGGCGGGCGCGGCTTCGTCTCGCGGCGCTTCGGACGATAATCTTCTTACTATCGCGCGCCCGCCCAGAGCGTGACCTCCGGGCCCGCGACGGGCCGCGCCGGGCGGACCTCGTCGAAGCCCGAGACCAGCGACTCGAGGAAGACGCGGAGCGCGGGCTTCGGCGGCGGCGCCGGCCCCGCCGCGTCGCGCCGCGCGACGGCTTCCAGCGAACGGATGAACGTCACGGGCCCCGTCTCCGCGAGCTTCCGCGCGACGGCCGCCGCCGCCCCCTCCGGCTCGATGCCGCAGTCCACGGCCGAGAGCAGCTCGACGTCCGTCTTCGCCGGGTCGCTCGCCGGCCGGAGCCGCGTGCAGCCGTAGCGCACGGACGACCGCACGTAGCGGTCGCTCGGCGCGGGCGCGCCCGCGTGGTCGTCGACGGCGTGGTTCACGAAAACCGTGGCGCCGTCGACGGCGCGCACGTGCACGGCCGTCAGGAAGTCGCGCGCCTTGAAGGGCCCGTAGGACGCCGTCGACGTCCACGTGATCTGGCTGTCGTCGTCGTACTCGGCGACGGGCACGAGCTCGTGGCAGTGCTCGTTGTACTCCTTCGACCGCGAGCTGTTCTTCAGGATGTTCACGACCGTCGCCAGGGGCGCGTCGATCGTGCCCGCGGCTTTTAGGACGTCCCGGTCGTCGCAGTGGCGGAAGACGACGACGCCCGCGGCCTCGTGGACGACGTCGAAGCGCTGCGCGCTCACGTTCAGCGCCCGGCGCAGCGCGGCGTCGCCGTCGGCGCGGAACGACGCCGGCGCGATGCCCTGGGCGTAGCCGCCGCGCAGCTTGTGCAGGGCCGGCGCGCGCCGGGGCAGGGGTTTCCTGGACGCGGCGAGGGTCGCCAGGAGGAGTGTGAGGCGCATGTCGCGCCGTTGGCGGTGCCTCGGTGCTCGGGAGGACGCCGCGCACGTCCGGCGGTCGTAAACGGCGCTTTCAGGCGCCGAACCAACCCGGCGATGTGCACGTCTGATGTAAGCACCGAGGTGAACCGGGCATCAACATCGTCACAGCCGAGACGTTGCCCCTCTCCCCGCGACACGATGGCCTGCCGCGCCGTCTTCGCCCTCTGCTTCGGAGTGCTCGCCGCGTCGCTCCAGATCCCGCACCGCTCCAGATGCCTCACGCACCGACGCGCCACCCCCGTCGACACGGCCCCGGACGACGCCGGCGCCGACCTCACGAGCCGCAAGATCGTCGCGGGCCTCGCCGCGGTCGGCGTCGCGGAGACGGCGTATTTGAGCTACTCGAAGCTCGCGGCGGCGCCGGTCATGTGCGCGTCGCAAGCCTGCGGCGGCGTGCTCAACTCCGCCTACGCGTCGGTCGCCGGCGTGCCGCTCGCGTTCTTCGGGTTCGCCGCCTACTTTACGACGCTCGCGCTCGCGGCGGCGCCCCTCGTCGCGCCCGGCCTCGAGAAGAAGACGCGCTGGCCGCTCCTGGCGACGACGAGCGCCATGGGCTGCTTCTCCGCGTGCCTCCTGCTGCTCCTCGCGTTCCGGCTCCAGGAGTTCTGCGCGCTGTGCGCGGGCTCCGCGGTTCTCACGCTGACGAACGCCGCGGTCCTGCGCGCCTGGAAGGCGGAGGCCCCGCCGCCGCGCCTCGTCGGCGCCGGCGCCGCGGCGCTCTTCGCGGCGGGCGCGCTCTTCCTCGCGGAGACGGACGTCGCCATGGCGGAGGCGCGCGCCATGGTCGCGAACGCGCCGCCCGCGGTCGCCGCGCCCGCGCCCAAGGGCTACGGTGGCCCCGTCTTCACGCCGCCGGACGTCACGAAACCGTCGACGGCGCGGTCCGCGGCCCTCGCGGCCCACCTCAAGGCCAAGGGCGCGAAGATGTACGGCGCGTACTGGTGCAGCCACTGCTTCAACCAGAAGCAGGAGTTCGGGAAGACGGCATACAAGGCCATCGACTACTACGAGTGCGCCGAGGACGGCTACGCCTCGCGGCGCGACGCCTGCCAGGCGCGCGACATCAAGGGCTACCCGACGTGGGAGATCGGCGGCGCGCTCTACCCCGGCGAGAAGACGCTCGACGAGCTCGCGGCGCTCTCGGGCTTCGTCGAGTAGTAATGCCGCCTTCTTAGAGCCCGCGGTACCAGGCCGCGATGGCCGCGCCGACACTTGCGCCGACAAGTGCGCCGACGGCGACTTCGACGGCGTCGTCTCGATCGCGAGCGCGTCCTTCAACGTCAGCCCCGATGAAACTCCTCGACACAAAGCCAGACCGAGGGGCTGCTTCGAAAGCGCCCCCCGTCGCGGGCGCCGGGCCCTCGTCGTGCCGTCGACCTCGTCCTCCTCGGCGACGTCCGCTCCGGCCTCGAGGGCATGGGGTACGTGGAAGACGAGACCCGCGAGAAGCAACGGGCGGACCTCCGCGAGCTCGGGGGCACGCTGCGCGAGTTCGCCGAGCTCGAGGCGCGGCGGCGGAACTGGGGCCCGGCCCAGCGGCGCCTGGGCCTAGCCATGAGCGCCTGGCAGTTCTTCGTCATCCGGCGGCGCCACGGCCGCTTCCTCGCCAAGGAGCGCGCGCGCCTCCGGGCCCTGGGCCTCGGGCCGCCCGAGGCGCCGCCGCCGGCCGCGTCCGACGACGACGGCGGGGACGACGAGCCCGCGCGCGCGGCGCTGCCGCTGCCGAGCTGGGAGTGGTACACGAGCCTCCGGTCGACGCACGGCTCGTCCTGGGGCCGCGCGCCGCGCCTCTCGCAGTACCCGAGCTGGTCCGGCCCCGCGACGCCCGCGCGGAGGAAGGGCAAGCGGTCGCGCGGCGTCCGGTGGGCGCCGCGGTCGCTGCCGCCCTGGATGCGGCCCCAGCTCCTCGCCGCCGCGCCGCCGCCCGCCCAGAGCCCCGCGGCGCCGTCCCCGCGGGCGAAGAAGGTGCGGGGCGCGCCGCGGCCGCCCAAGATCCCCCGGAGCCCGACGACGCCGAAGCGTCCCCGGACCGTGAGCTTCGACGGCGCGCGCGGCCCCGACCCGCCGCCGTCGCCGTCGCGCTTCCCCGCCCTCGAGGCCCGGGCGCCGGCGTCGCCGGACCGCGCGTCGGCGTCGACGGCCCGGGCGCCGGCGTCGCCGGACCGCGCGTCGGCGTCGACGGCCTCCGTGCGGGCGCCGCGCACCGCGTCGACGTCGCTCGGCAGCCCGCTCTCGTCCTACCGGAAGCTCGCGCCGCGCGTGGGCCGCGACGACCCCGACGGCGACTTCAAGGACCTCGCCCACGACAAGTTCGCCGTCTACGCCCTGACCTGGCCGCCGAAGCGCGCCGCGGGCTTCCACCGGGCCGGGCGCAAGGCCTTCGGCGCCGCGGCGAACCGCGTCAACAACCGGAAGACGATCCTCGCGGCCGGCTCCTTCTCGACGGTGGAGTACGTCACGAAGACGTCCACGTCGCCGCGGGGCCGCGAGGCGCGCGTCACGCTCAAGCCCGCCGACGACTTCGACCGCGTCGTCGCCGCGTGACGCGCGCGTCCGTTATAAATCGCCCCGCGCGCCGCCGGCGCGGCCCGGGGCCGCCTACTCGGGCGCGCTCGGCTCGAGGTCCGGCGCCCAGGCCTCGGCGTCGAGCTTGAAGGGCGTCGCGCAGACCGGCGCGCCGAGGTCCAGCGCGTCGGCGACCGCCGCGACGGTGAAGTCGGCCGCCGACGCCGCGGCCGTCGCCGCGGCCGCGTCGACCGCCGCGGAGCAGAAGAGCAGGTACATGTACCAGGACCCCTCGGCCAGGCCGGCGTCCTTGGGCGCCACGTAGGGCACGAGCTCCGTGCCCGCCGCGATGAGGTTGCCGCCGCTCATGGGCGCGAAGTGGCACCGATCGTGGACGACGGGCGCGTTCGCCACCAGCCACAGGCACTTCTGCGCCCCCGCCGCCGGGTCGTAGCCGACGAACATGAGCGTGAACGCGTCGGCCTCGTCGAAGATCTTCGTCGGCTGGACCTGGATCGCCGTCGGCGGCTCGTCGAAGCCGCCGCACGCCGCGACGCCCGGCGCCGAGTGGCAGTTGATGTCCCCGGACCGCGAGCACACGACGATGGCGGCCTTCGTCGGGTAGCCCGCGATCTCCGGGGGCTGGACGCCTAGCGGCAGCACGGCGGGCTCGAGGCCGAGCCCCGCGTAGGCGCCGCTGGGCACGTGGAAGGGGCTCGGCATGCCGCAGAACGGCCAGTCCGTCGTGCCCCAGTTGACCTTGAGCAGCCCGTCCTCGCCGACCTACGGTCGTTCGTGACGCGCGCGCGGCGCCGGCGTCGTACCTCGACGTCCGGGAAGAGCTCCTTCGCGGGCTTGGACGAGCACACCATACTGAGTGGCTGCCCCGCTGCTTCTCCTGCGAAGCCGAAAAACGCCGCGCGCAGGCCGGGGGTCTCGCGGACTCCGGAGTCGGTCCCGGGGTGCGACGCCTCGTCGTCACCACGATGGACGTTAGTAGTCGTCGACGTAGCAGCCGGACGCGTCGAGGACCGTCGCCCCCGCGGCCGCGGCGGCGGCGTCGTCCGCGCGCGGCCGCTCCGCGCCGAGGAGGTCGAAGAACGCGTCCGGCAGCGCGCCGCCGTCGAGGTCGTACCAGTCGCTGTACATGAGGAGCGCGTGGGCGACGAGCCGCGCGCGGTCCCGCCGCGGCGCCGCGCCCGGGTCCGCGCGGAGCGCGTCGAAGGCCGGGACCGCGCCGTCGAGCGCGCCGTCGGCGACGAGGTGCGTCGGCGGCGCGTCCGCGCGCCGGAACGTCGCCGCGAGGGAGATGCGCGGCTCCCGCGCGCCGGCGCCGCAGAGGCCGCCCCAGTGGATGACGTTGTGCCAGCAGAGCACGTCGCCCGGCGCGAGCGGCACCGGCCGCGCGGCGCCGATGGGGAAGCGGAGCTTCGTCGCGCCGGCCTCGAAGCCCGGCAGCGCCGGCCGCAGGTGGTCGTAGTGGCCGTCGTCGGCGTAGCAGGCGTCGAACTCCCGGGGCACGACCCAGAGGCACCCGTTGTCCGCGGCGGCCTCCGTAAAGGGCAGCCACGTGTTCAACACCTTGGGCGCGCCGTCGGGGAAGTGGGCGTCGCCGTACGTGAAGTCGCGGTGCGGCAGGCCGAAGCTCTCGCCGACGCGCGCGCACCGCGTCTTCCGCGCCGGGGTCGTCGTCCCGTGGCGCCGCAGGCTCCAGATGAACATCGACGGCTCGAGCACGCAGTCGCCGAGCACGCGCCGCGCGAGGTCCCAGCTCCGCGCGACGCCGCGCCAGGGCGCGTCGCAGAGCAGCGCGAAGACCGGCGGCCAGCCGGCCGCTTCGACCTTTCGGACGACGTCCGTGCAGTCGCGCCAGAGGGCCGCGTCGGACGCGTCGCGCGCGGCGAAGTAGCCGTCGCCGCCGCCGAGCGCCGCCCGGGCGGCGGCAACGTCGAAGTCCGCGGCGGGCGCGCGCCGCGCCGACGGCGCCTCGAAGGCCCGCCAGTACGAGGCCTCGGCGAGCGCGTCGGCCGCGGCGTCGCCGTTCGCGCAGCGCTGCAGGAGTGTGGACGCGGTCGTCGTCGCCGGCGGCGGCGGCGTCGCGTCGGCGTCGGCGTCGAACATGGACGACGCGACGAGGCCGCCGAGGAAGCTGAACGACTTGGCATTGAGGTCCTCGTCCTCGACCGGTTTCGGCGCTGGTTTTGGCGCTGGTTTGGGCTTCTGCGGTACGTCCAAGGCGCCGAATTTGCGCGTCTGCACGAGCACCAATGGCGCCATGACGCGGTCACCAGGGTTGCGTTCAGAGTTCGCAGCGCATACGATCACCAGGGCGTGCTAAATTGCAGCACATCGCTCGCCTAAGCAACATCAGCCTGAAAAAGGTAAACGAGGGCGAGTTTAGTGGCGTATGATGGCTGCGAGGCAGCCCGCCCGGCCGCTGGCCGTCGTGGCGCTCGTCTTCGCGCTGGCGCTCGTCGCCGGCGCTCGTCGCCGGCGCGGCGCGCCGCTCCTGGGCTTCGCCGAGACCGTGCGCGTCTCCGCCGCGACGACGACGATGACCTCCCGCGGCCCGCTCGTGCCCTTCAACAGTAGCGACTGGCGGCTCCAGAAGATGACGCACCTGTCGAGCCTCGCGACGCTCAACTCGACGCTCCACCTCTTCACGACCTACCTCGCGGGCTCGCTCACGGACTGCCCGTCGGACCTGGGCTGCTCCGTGCGGCGGGCCAAGTTCGGCGTGCGCTTCGGCACGCACTCCGGCGCGCTCCAGTTCCTCGCGGCGCCCCTCTTCGACGACCTCGGCGAGGCCGACGGCTGGATCGCATACTTCCGCGAACTCCACGGCGACATGCGGAACTTCGACGCCTTTATGCACAACAAGGTCGTCCTCTACGCGCGGGACCTCGCGACGTACGCCGGGCCTTTAATCGCGGACGGCATCCCGCTCATGCTGCGGTCCTCCGTGGACGCCGACGGCGCCGACGTGCTCCACCTCGGGCTCCAGGTCGAGGGCGTCGTCTTCGAGCTCGTCGGCGCCGCGGGCGACATGCCGGGCGCGCGAGCGCCGGCGTGGAGCGCGGACGAGTGCCCCGCGGCGCACGCGCTGCCCTTCACGCTCGCCTACCTGTCGGACCTCGTCGGCCTCGCGGACGACGCCGACGACGACTTCGCGCTCTACGCGAACGAGCCGCTGCTGGCCGTGACGCTGGGCATGACGCAGCACGGGGTTACTAGCGCGGGCGCGGCCGCGCGCTACGAGCACGCGGCCGTGCTCACGGGCGCGTCCCACAACGTGACCCACGCCTCGGCGACGTGCGTCGTCGTCGACATGGGCTGGGAGTCGCAGCCCGGCGTCGCGATCCGCTTCGTCGACAACGCGGCGGCGCCGAGCGGGTCGCGGTCCCTCGCGGACTACGACGCCTACGTGCGCCGCGACCACGAGGCCTTTCTCTACGACGAGGACGGCGAGCAGAACCCGGACGGCTGGGACCGGTACCTGGACCAGCACCTGGGCATCTGGTACTCGGGCGGCGAGGCGAGCTGCCAGGCCCGCGCGTCCGCGCTGCGCGTGCTGCTGGCGGACGTGCCGTACGCGGAGAGGCAGCAGCCGGACGCGCACCTGTTCTACGCGGGCTACGACGGCCCTTTTGCTTTGGAATACCAGTTCGAACACTGCGACGCGGACCGCGCGGACGCGCCCGCGGAGTGCGGCTGCACGGGCAACAACAACGAGGACACGTGGTACAACCTCACGGGCGACGCGTGCTGGGCCATGGGCGACGACTGGTGCGAGTAAGGGTTAGCGCATGTGTGGGCGCGCCTAGTCGGCGTCGTCGTCGCGGCTGCTGCGCCAGAACGTGAGGATCGTCCAGAAAATCTCATTCGGCAGACGGCGCGTCGGAGCGCCGAAGAGCCGCTCGAAGACCTTGGCCTCCGCCACGCTGAGCTCGTTCGAGCCCGAGGAGGCCCGGGGAGAGGGCGGCTCCGCGCGGCCGCGGTCGCAGAGAGAACGGAGCCGCACGAGCTCGACGCGCGGCGCCCGCCAATACGCGCGCCAGCTTCCCGCGGCCTTGACCTCCGCGAGGAAGTTCGCTGCTTTGATGAGTTTTTGACACTCGGTGGGGCTGGGGTGTTCAAAGTACGCGGCACGTGCCGCACGTGTGCGCGCATATGATTCCGCATCTAGTCCCTGATTGTCAGTCAGAAACAGGTTCGCCCCACGACAAACCATGAGGTGCACGAGAGCAAATCTTTTACTGGCGTGGCATCGCAGCGGCGTTACGTCGCCTATGTCCAGAGCGTCGATGTCGGCGCCGTGATCGAGGAGTAGCGCCGCTTCTTCGGGATGACGACACCAATGAAGGGCGGTTCTACCGCTGTCAGTCCTGGCGTTTGCATCGGCGCCGTGCTGGAGGAGAAGGTGAAGAATGGCATATCTGGCCTCGAAAGATCCGCCCAACTCGCCGTATAATAAAACCAAATGCAACAAAGTCCTACCGAGAGAGTCGACTTCGTTCACGTCGCGCTCAGGCCCCCCAGACTCGAGCCACGTTCGTACCGTCTCTACGTCTCCGCATTGCACGGCATTTGCGACTGCGGCTGGGATCATCGCTCGAGCGTCGACGTGCAGCAGCCGACCCCGCCTCTTCGCTTGCGCGCAAAACTTTTGCGGCATTCGGCGACGAAGTCGTCGACGCGTCGGAGACCGAGCACACGGGACGAGTCGCGTCGCGCCGCCGCCCACGGCTCAAGGGCGCAAGGCGCGATGCTCCTCGCCGTCGCCCTCGTCGTCCTCGGCGCGCTCGCCGCCGAAGGCATGAAGTCCGTCCCGCGAAGCGGCGACACGGAGGCGGCCTGGGTCGAGCGGTGGCGCAGCGGCGGCGCCGACCGATGCCTCGTGGACAAGGACGAGCACCGGCCCCACTGCGCCTGGCTCGCCCTCGCGGGCCCCGTCGACGTGGGCTGCCGCTTCGAGGTCGCGTCGACGGGCCTCGCGGCCGGCGTCGCGAGTGCCGGCCCCGCGCTCCGCGTCGTCGCGGGGCGGCGGACGTCGCCGCGGACGTTCCACGCCGAGTGGGACCGCCACGCGCCCCTCGCCGCGCCGGCGCTCTGCTCCCACGGCCTCGACCGGGACGCGCCCCGGCGCGGGGGCGTCGTCGCCGTCGTCGCCGCGAGCTCGATCCCTTACGTCTTCAAGGAGTGGGCGGCCCTCGTCAACAAGGTGGCCTATTTCGGCGCCATGGGCGTCGACTGGGCGCTCTGGATCGGCGACCTCGACGACCGGCTGTCCGTGGAGGAGACGCCGACCTGCGCGGCGCGCGCGGACAACGTACCGGGTCTCCGAAAACACTGGGTCTCCGAAAGCAAAGGATCGGTCTACGACGGCGACGCGTCGCGCGCGGTGTCGAACCACCTGATCAAGATCCTGGCCGTCTACGCCATGTCGGACCGGCCGGGCGTCACCGGCGTCGCCTACGTGGACCTGGACGCCATGGCGCATCGGGAAGACATCCTGAAGCTCTTGGACGGCGACCGCACGCCCCTCCACGGCGACCACGGCGCCGAGACGTTCCTGGGCGTCATGCTGGGCACGACCCACCCGAAGGGCTTCCGCATGCCCTTCTGGCAGACGTCGTCGAACAGGTTCTACGTGAAAGCGCGGGACCCGTACGCGGCGAAGCTCCTCGGGCTCTGGATGGCGCACCGCTGCGGCTTCAAGGACCAACTCCCGCTGTGGCACGTCCTTCTAGCCGTCGCCGAGGAGGGGAGCGGCGGGAGCTGCCTCCGCGCGCACTACCACGGCAAGATCTTCGAGTCGATGACCTACGTGGCGGCGCACTCGTACCCAAAAGGGTTCTCCGCGCCCAGGGGCTACCGCGAGGACGCGGACGCCCTGCTCACGACCTGCGACGAGCTCGTCGCGAAATGCCCGAAGCTGCGCCTCTGCGCCCACGAGGACGTCGTCTTCTCGCATCTGCACCACCGAACGGTCCAAGGCGCCGCGCCGCCGCGGAAGTTCGCCTATTTTGACTCCCACAACATTTCCCACGTCATCGCCGTGCCGGACTCCCTCTACGACCCCTTCAAGCTCCCGGACGGCTCGCTGGCGCCGCGGGGCGCGATGCGGAACAACCGGGAATTCGTCGAGTACTTCGGGCTGGACCTGATCACGGCCGCCGCGCGCGCGGACGCGGACCGCGGCTGGAGCCTGGCGTCCCTCTACGGGCCCAGCCACCGGGGTGACTAGCCCTTTTTGCCGCAATTACTTTCTCTCTTCCGTCTGCGGTATGTTGCAGTGCTTCTTGCCGTGATCGATCAGCACTGGCAGGCGACGATGGGCTCTCCGAGAGCTCGTGCATAGGACTGCTGCCCCGACGCGCGACTGAGCGCACCAACCAGCGCTGCGACGCGCGACTGAGCGCAAGCTGCGACGCGCGACTGGTGCACACGGCTGCTCCGAACTTGCGCCGCGCCGCCGCGCATGCGTCCATGAGCCAGCGGAGCGCCGCTGCGTTGGCGGCGCTCGCCGGCGCCGCCGGCCTCTGCGCCTGGCGATGGTACCGCGAGGCGCGGCGGCTGCGGCGCCTCGTCGCCGCCGCGGCGCTGCCCCTGCGGCAGATCGGCGTCGTGGAGTCGTGCTACCGCGACGTGCAGGGCACGCCGCGGCAGCCGCTGCTCGCGCCGACGGCGCGCGCGGTCTGCGTGCTGGACAAGGCCGTCGTGGAGGCGTGCGCGCTCGAGGGCCTCGACCGCCACAGCCACGTCTGGTTGCTCTTCGCCTTCCACGAGAACACGAACGGCCGCAAGCGGGCCGTCGCGGCCAAGGTGCGGCCGCCGCGCGGCCGCGGGCGGAAGGTCGGCTGCCTCGCGACGCGGACGCCGCACCGGCCGTCGGCGCTGGGCCTGTCGCTCGTCGCGCTCGAATCCGTCGACGCGCGCGCGCGGCGCGTCGTCGTCCGCGGCGCCGACGTTTTGGACGGGAGCCCGCTCGTGGACATCAAGCCGTTCTTGCCGTCGTACGACGCGCCGCCGGCCGGCGACGCCGTCCGGACGCCGCTCGCGGACTGGTACGGCGGCGAAACCGCGGCGCCCAGGGCCGTGCGCGGCGCCGCGGGGCGCCTCGACGCCGTCGCCGACGCGCTGACATTGTTCGCGGGGGACCCTGCGGCCGCGACGCGCGCGCTCGTCGAGACGCTCGCCGTGGACGTGTCGCGGCCGCCGCGCGACAAGCCGTACCGCACGCGCTTCGACGGCGTCCTCGTGGAGTACGTCGTCGGGGACTCGCGCGTGGACGTGGTCGCCGCGACGCGCGCGGCGCCTCCGGCTCCGGCGGCGCCGGCGCCGGCGCCCGCGATGCCGCCGTCGGCCTACGAGCCGCCCGTCGACGCGGCGACCTTCGCCCGGGTCCACCTGCGCGCGGCTTTCGCGCCGCTGCGGCTCGCGGGCGCGGCGCGCGAGTGGCCCGCGGCGGCCGCGTGGACCCTGGACGGCCTCGCGGACCGCTGCGGCGAGCGGCGCGTATTGGTGCGGCAGCGCGTCACCTCCGCCGCGTACCGCCGGGGCGCCGCGTCGCCGGTCGAGCGCATGCGCTTCCGCCGCTACGTCGACGAGCTCAGGGCCGGCCGCGTCGACGCGTACATGGCCGCGGCGCGGCGCGGCGTCTTTCTTTTTTCACGACGGGAAACGAAGGAGCGACCGTCGCGCCGCAGGCGAGCGTGCGCCACTGCTTCCCCGCGCTCGCGGCGGACTTTGGCGCGCCGCGGCTGCTGCAGGGCTGCAGGGTCCACTCGGGGCCGTTCCTTTGGGTCGCGCCCAAAGGGCACGTCGAGTTCTGCCACCTGGACCCCGACGACGGCTGGCTCGCGGTCGTCTCGGGCCGGAAGCGGGTCCGCCGCGGCGTCGAGCTCCCCCGTTTCTCCCCGCACGCGAAGCGCGCTCTCCCCGCCGGCACGCCACCCACGAACGTCCCCCGCAGGTCGAGCTCTGGCCGCCGACGCTCCGCGAGGAGATGGCGCCGAACGACCTCGGCGCCGACGGCCGCACGGTCCAGAGCTCCGCGCCCGGCCCGGAGCCGGCGGCGGTCTTCGAGCTCGGCGCCGGCGACGCGCTCTTCATCCCGGCCTTTGCGTGGCACCGCGTGACGTCGACCGAGGAGTCGATCTCGCTGAACTTCTTCTTCGGCGACGACGCGGGGTACGTCGCGAAGGTCCTCGACCGGCCGACGTTCCGGCTCTGGCTGCTCAACGTCCTCGAGCAGAACGCCGCGGGGCTGCCCCTGATCCTGGACCACCTCGACGCCGCGGTGTCGCTCCTGCTGAAGCAGCAGTGGGCCGACGCGGCGACGCGGCGCGAGCTCGACGCGATCCGCGCCTTCGTCTACGACCACCTCGAAGCGCACCGCCCGGGCGCCGTCGCGCCGGGCGACCGCGACGCGCGCGGCCGCGGCGACGCGGGCGCCGCGCCGCCGCCGGGCGCGCGCCTCAAGATCCGCGGCCTCCGGAACCGCGGCGGCGTGGACTTCGTCGAGGACCGGGAGCGGGGGCAGTAAGCGTTTCTTAGTGCGGTGGGGGCGCAAGGGGGCCAGGAACGCCCGCTCAGTCCTCCTCCTCCTCGATTGCCTCGATGACGCCCGGGAGCTCGTCTTCGGTGAAACTGAACCACTCCGTCCCGCCCCGGCCGCGGATGCCGTGTTGCCCGTTGGCGACCGCCCCTGGGCGAACTCGCCGGGGGACCAACTTGCCGTGGGAGTCTTCGACAGCCTCCCAGTACTCGTGGTTGGCGGCATACTTGGCATGGAGTCTGTATTCGACCTGCTTCCGCTCCTTCAAGTCGCGCTTGGACTCTGCGAGGATGACGAACGGTCTCCAGCCCGCGAAGGCGATCTTCCGGCGAGTAACTCGACCCGATCTTGTACTTCCCGCCTTCCCAGATCTCCTTCGCCAGGTACACCTTGCCGTCTTTGGGCTCCTGAGGCACTGGCGGCTGCTGAGGCGCGAGCACCGCCGCGTTGATGACGGCAGCCGAAGGACGATCCAAAATGTTCAGGAGTTCTTGTTTGGTCACCTTGTCGAGAGTCCGCGTCTGTGTCCGCTTAGGCGTATCCTCATCGTAGTCGAACTTCTCGCAGTACCTCTTGCGCGGCGTAGAGCCCACTAGTTTCAGCTCCAGCGCGTCGGCATCGCGCTTTCGGCTCCAGTGAGCCCGCGGCGTCGTGAGCCTCTGAATTTCGTAGGTCACCATCAGCGTCTCGTGGCCCCCCTGACCGTGGGTGTGGGTGATGCTCAGGAGATCCCCAGGCGCGAGCGTGTTTTTGCCCCGCTGATTCGCGACACCGTCCCACTTCATCTTCCACGGGGCTGTGATGTAGTCGAGCTCGACTACCTCCGTCCCCGCGAGTCGCACCTCCTCCTGCCAGTGCGCGATGGCGGCGTCGCTGGACTTCCCGATGCAGGTCTCCGCGGTTTTGTACGCCGCCATGTTCTCCGGCTGCGGGAACTCTCCGCCGAGCGAAACCCGGCCGGGCAGCCGCTCGAGCAGCAAGGGGTAATAAATAGTATCTAGATTTATATCCCCTTGCGAGCAGCAGATTTCGCCTTCAACATCTGCCCCAACGGACCGAAGCGCCGGAAGCGGGCTCCGAGCGCGCAATCACGCCCACGCACCGCGAAGAATCGGCCGTCTTTTTCCGGTGTCCACTACGCGCCCCCAGCCCCAGACGCACCCGCGAGCCGCAGCGCTCTCACGCAACAAACCCCTGACCGCCGCGCCCCCGCAGGCAACCCGCACAAACCCCTAAAGCTCACCGCATCCCCTAAAAGAAGCATGACGATCCACAGCGAGAAAAACGAGAAGAAGGCGCGCAACGACAAGAACACCTACTACAAGAAGCAGGCCGGCAAGGCCGTGGAGTCGACGCCCCCGAGCGACGAGGAGCTCGCCGCGGCCCTCGAGGCCGACGTCGCGGAGCGGCGCGCCGTCAAGGCGCACGTGCCCCTCGCCTCCATCAACCGGGGCGCCCTCGACGAGGGCGACCGCGACGCCGCCCAGGCGCGCGCCGAGGAGGCCCAGGCGGCGCGGAAGCTCGCCAAGAAGGAGCAGAAGGCCAAGGACAAGGCCGCGGCCAAGGCGAAGCGCGTCGAGCGCAAGCGCGCGCGGTCCCTCTCCGACTCGGAGCCGGACAAGGTCCAGGCCACGGCGCCGCCCCCGGAGCCCGCGGCCGCGGAGAGCTCCGGCGGCTTCTTCGGCTTCTTCCGGTCGCTCGTGAGCGCGCACTAGAGGCGGGGCGCCGCGCGGCGCGGCGCCTTGGCGACGGCGCGCCGCCCCTCCCCCGGGGCCCGCCGCACACGCGCGGGCCCGCGCGACGGCCGCCGCGGCCGAGTCGACCCTCTGGCGCGTGTACATAAGCTGGCTTTTGGGGCGATATCGGCAGAGGCGATTGGCATCCCGAGCCGCCGCGGCGGAAGCCTCCGCGGCATCTCCAGGGGCGAGCTTCGGAGGAGGTTAGCGCCGCGGCCCGGGCGGGCGCCCCGGGCGGCCCTCGTTTGCAATCGCGCGCTCACTTGGCGTCGAGGGGGCTCCACTCGGACGCGCGGTCGTCCGTGCGCCGCTCGACGTCGAACTTGACGCGCTTCTGCGCGTGGGCGGCGAAGAGGCCGCCGGGCGGCTTCGCCGGCGGCGCGTCGACGGTCTTCTTGACGCGGAAGTCCGCGTGCTTCTCGTGCCACTCCGGCTGGAGCACCGCGGGGTCCGCGCGGGGGTCGTGCGCGAAGGCCGCGTGCTTCGACCCCGCGGGCCCGGCCTCCGTCGCCGTGGACTTGAGGCGGCGGAAGTGGAGGGGGCACTTGGTCGGGAAGAGCGCGCCGAGGAACTCGCCCACGCGCGCGAGCTCCTCCGCGGCGCCCGAAGAGAGGACGACGACGCACGCGACGACGGCGCTCGCCGCGTCGGGCGCGGCCGCGCGGGCGCCGCCGTAGCGCGGCCCCGCGTGGGCCCGGGCCCGCGCGGCCTCGGCGGCCCGCGCCTCGAGCTCGTCGAAGGCCGGCGCGGCCGCGACGGCCGACGCCGCGCGCGCGGCGCCCGCGCCGCGGAGCGCGCCGGACTTGGGCGCGAGCGTCTGGAGCACGACGGCCGAGCCGAACTTCTTCTGGATGAGGTGGGGCTCGAGGATCTTCCACCAGACCTACAGAGAAAGGGATTTTTTTGACGAAAGAAAAGGGGCGCGTTCCGGGGCGCGGCCGCTAACGTCGTCGAGGTCGCCCATCTGGAGGGGCACGAGCCAGTAGCCCGGGTCGGCCTCGGGCACGCAGTGGGTCCAGACGTCGCCCAGGGACCGCTCGGCGGCGCCGCGGTCGGAGCTCGCGGCCGTCTCGGTCCACAAAGCGATACGGCTGTGGCCGAGCGACTTCGGACGCAGGTTCATGAGCTGGAGGTGGCCCTTGTGGACGCAGGTCTCGTCGAAGGCGCACCAGAAGGACGTCGCGCCCTCGGCGGCGGCGGACCCGGAGGCCTGCGTGACGACCTTGCGCTGGCGCTTCGCGGGCGGCTCCTCGGCGCGCGCGGCGCCGTCGTCGCCGTCGCCGTCGCCGTCGCCGTCGTCGTCGTCGTCGTCGTCGTCGTCGGCGCCGGCGCCGTGGCCGCCGGCCGCGGCGGCGGCGGCCTGCTGGGCGCCGGCCTGGAGCTCGCGCCAGTCGTTCTCCAGGAGCCAGGAGCTCGCGAGCTCCGCGGACCCCGTCACGTCGAGCGCCTGGCGCAGGGCGTT